CATTTCTGACCGTTTAGAGTTCTCGAGTTGGTTTCTCTGGACACTGACAACGTTCTTGATGTTTCAGGTTCTTTAAGGCAGCATATGGATGTTCTGATGTTATTTTTAAGAGCGTGTTCTTTAGACGACACACAGCGAGACACATCACGGCCTGTCAGGACTGACCTTGGTGGGGGTTGGGTTGGATTTATCTGCGTTCAGTTCACACATTCCCCAATAGATTCACAGATGCACCCATGGAGAAACACGATTTATGATCTTAAAAATAAAGGTTTTTGGCATCAGTGCTTCCATGAAGAACATCCATGGAGCTTTCCATTGCACAAAAGGTTCTTTATAGTGGGACATTGAGCTTAAATGGTTCCATAAAGAACATCCATTGTAAAAAAAAAAGGTTCTTTATAGTGGGAAATTGAGCTAAAATGGTTCCATGAAAAACATCCATGGAACTTTCATTGCAAAAAAGGTTATTTAAAGTGGGAAATTGAGCTAAAATGGTTCCATAAAGAACATCCATGGAACTTTCCATTGCAAAAAAGGTTATTTAAAGTGGGAAATTGAGCTTAAATGGTTCCATAAAGAACATCCATGGAGCTTTCCATTGCAAAAAAGGTTATTTAAAGTGGGAAATTGAGCTAAAATGGTTCCATAAAGAACATCCATGGAGCTTTCCATTGCACAAAAGGTTATTTAAAGTGGGAAATTTAGCTAAAATGGTTCCATAAAGAACATCCATGCAACTTTCCATTGTACAAAAGGTTCTTCAAAGTGGAAAAAGGAGCTAAAATGCTCAAGGAAAATGGTTCGTTTAATGGTTCTTTGGGCAACCAAAAGCGGTTCTTCTATGGAATCACTGTGAAAACACACTTTCAGAAGTCTGCATTTCTCCAGAAGATTCTTATCAGGCTTAATTTCCTTGAAAATGAAACATCCGTCATCATTTACACACCCTCGTATCATTACAAATCCGTATGACTTTCTCACTTCCGTGGAACGTTTCTCACTTTATAAACAATGCCATAGAAGAGCCATTGAACCAACACTTTATTTTACGGTGTCCTTGTTACACTTTACATGTACTAACTGTTATAACAACAATTGATTATGCATAATTACATGCTAACCCTAACCATATAGTAAGTACAGTAAAATTACTCAGTACTGTATAATTGCACTGTAACAAGGACACCTTAAAGTAAAGTGTAAAGTGTTTTAAAGAACCTGAACAGTTCTTAAAAGAACCACTTTTTTTCTTAACATAAACAAAAAAAACACTTTTTCCACTATAAAGGACCTTTTGTCCAATGGACAGGTTGGATGTTGAAGGTTCTTAGTGGAACCACTGATGCCAATGAAGAACATTTGAAGAACATTTACTTTGAAGACACTTGAACAGACTCTCAATTATGGTTTCATTCCCTTAAATCTCATGATTTGTTTTTGTTTTTAATGATTAATATATTCCCCTAGAAGTGGTCAATGATCCCACGTGATTTATTATGTTTGTGTGCAGAAGTATGACTTATGAGTTGGGTCTGTTCCTCAAACAAAGCTGTTTTATGATTTATGATGCACAAGTAATCAGAAGGTCTGAAGGTCATCCATCTCTCGTGTTCCGCAGAAGAAGGAAAGCCGGCCAGGTTTGGAAAGTACTGTAAATGATGAGAAGGCTCTCGTCTGAGGATTTTTCTGACTCACCCGGTGATGATCTCAAACGGCGGCAGCTCCATGGGCTCCGGCTTCTCTGCGTTCTCTCCGTTCGCCGTGGCTCCGTCTCCGGTGGCGGCCTCTCCGTTCTCCGCCGGCACGCTTGTTCCGTTCACCTCAGCTTTCTCTCCTTCTTTAGGAGGTTTCTCCTCTTTCTTGGCCTCATTTTCTGCTCTCTCTTTCCTCCTGACGGTCAGACGAGAGCTGGCGCCTCCGCTGCTGCTGCTCTTTCTGTCGGCCATCTCTAGAACTGCACACACACACACACACACCTCAGTATTTATAACAGCACTGGAGTGTGTGTGTGTGTGCAGCTGTCGGCTTGTTCTATTAAAAGACCTCCTGGCCACAGAGATCTTACACAGGACATATATCCTACATGCACTGCAAGGCAAACATTTAGACGCTTCTTTCTCACATCAAAAAATGTTTCAGTTGAAGCAGAAGCAAAGGCAAAGGCCTCGTGTGAAAAGCCTCCCATGACGCACCTCGTGAACTTCCAGAGCTGGAATCTAGACGACGAAGAAGCTCAAATAGAAGAGAGTTTTCATCCCTTCATCATTCCCAGACTTATATTTGTGATTTTTAAGAGTACACACTATTACTTTAACACATGGAAAATAAGTATAGATGTGCTTATATGGTGAAAAAACACATTTTGCCATCCAGATATTTCAGTTCGAAGAAAATGCATTCACAATTGTTGACGTTTAAAGGAAAAACTAGGAACATGCGTCAATATATCACACATTTTAATTTTAAAAAAGGAAGGAAATTAGGATTTTTAAACCAACATATGAAAATTTTTTTACATTATGTATTGATCTCTAGTAGGCTATATTTCATCCACATTTGCATTTAGTCTAAATGTAGGCCACTGTAAGACTGAAATTTATTTTTCTGCCCCTGAAATATATTTTGAAATATATTTGGTATATGAAGGTTGAAACTAAATATATTTTCAATTTCAAAAATGTGTTTCATTGAGCTTCACTGTTTACAGCATATTTAAAATATATAAGGAAAATGTACCCATCTCCATTCTGTTCAAAAGTTTTCACCCCCTGGCTCTTAATGCATGGTTTCTCCTTCTGGAGCATCAGCGAGCATCTGAAGCTTCTGTAATAGTTGCATACGAGTCCCTCAGTTGTCCTCGGTGTGAAAAGATGGATCTCAAAATCATACAGTCATTGTTGGAAAGGGTTCAAATACACAGAAATGCTGAAAAACCAAAGAATTTGTGGGAGCTGAAGGATTTTTCTGAAGAGCAGCAGGCAGTTTAACTGTTCAGGACAAACAAGGGACTCATGAACAACTATCACTAAACAAAACACAGCTGTGGATCATCCAGGTAACAACACAGTATTAAGAGTCAAGTGTATGATTCTCCCCAAAATATTCTTTACCATGATACCCAAATACATTTACCATGGTATTTACATGGCATTGCAGGGTATTTCCAAGAATATTATGATAATGCTAATAAAACAAACCATTGATACTTTTTTGCAGGTGTAAAAATAGCAAGGAACACGTCCAAAAAATATGAGTGTATGGTAGCCTACTTTGTGTCCAGCAGTTTGATGTAGTTGCAGTACCCGGATCTCTACGCATGGTGGCAGGAGTTTCACACTAATGGAGTCAGACTGTGTGCAGCTCTCATTAACTTCATTAACTAGCCTATTAATGGAGTCTGGAGCAGTTAATAACTTTGGAAAGTCGACAGAAGGAATTCCTCGCTGTCACACTGGCCTTCATGCTTAACTTGATGTGGTGAATATGTAACAGACCCCAAGCCGAGAGAAACACACACGGACTAGTGTTTGCCATCACGACTGGGACTTCCCATTGACTTCTATGGTTTTCATTTAAGCTAATTATGATTACAACCCAAACCGAACCCTGTCCAACCCATTACCGACAACATTTGGAAATTTCCATGTGAAATTTAGACTTTTTTATATGAAGTTAGTCATAATGGCTTCAGACTGACTTTGAGCTTTAATTATGAATCATTTGTTTAATGGCAAGTAGTGACGTAAAGAGATTTCATCCGATTTAGTTCTTTATAATCAAAAGTATAGCTCATCATGACCTCAGGAGATGAATACCTTTGCGAAATGCTGTTAAAAACGTGTGTTAGGTTTGACCTTTTAAAATATGACCTTTATAATACTGATCCAATGTTGTTGTTCTCTCTCTCTCCCACGCAGGTGATTGTATTTATTTATGATCTTACAGACAAACCTACATACACTCATGACTGATGGATGGGTTCGCACTTTCTTCTCTATTGAGTGTTTAATCGACATGATGCAAGACAGGTAGAGAGAGCGACAGGTGGGTGATGGGGTGACAGACGCCTCCGCATTTGGAAAGTCTTGCGGTCTCAAGGATAATTTATCTTCACCAGAACCTGTTCATTTGCATTCCAAGACGTCTTTCCTTCATCAATCATCAGCGTGGCATCAACAAGAAATGGAAAAAGAGCTGCAGTTATGAGAGGAGGAAAAATGTGAAGAGAATAACATGCAAACATCTAAATCTGGATCACATGATTAACTGCTATGTTTAGTACCGTGGACTAGCAAAGTGCATAAAAATAGAAACGGAAATGCATGGTAATTAATGACTTCCGTTCATATATGGTGGTATTTACTTTACAATGGTACACAAAAAGAATGCAAACACAAATTCTACTCATATGAATCGCTTCAGACTTGAGGTTGAAATGCTGACATCACTCGCTGTCATTATAAGCTTCATCCACAACAACAGAATGGTGTTTACCATCACCTACATCTAGTACAAAAGCCCTCAGCCATGTATGAAGACCCAAAACACACACACAGAAATACCAGTCAGTCCTGCAGCAAACCGAAACCTGTTATAAAGTTACACACACACACACACATTTGCGTCAACGTTAAATATTGGCAGAAATGACTTCATCCCTCTGGGAATAGTTGAGAGAATGGGTTAATGTGTGTGTGTTGTCATGAAAAAAGAGCACAGGTGACATAGTATTTGCTCGCGTTTATCTCTGAATGTATGTTAGCTGCCATGTCAAGTTAATGTTTCAAGGTCTGAAATCTATTCTCAGGAAAAAAAACAAAAGGGGAGAGCGGCCGAGCGAGAGTGAGAGAGATATTCGCTGGAATTCCCCCTCCCAGGAGAATATGCTCACCTGGCCACGCCCCCTCATGCATCTCACCTGGCCACGCCCCCTCTTTGCCCGTTCTTGCCCTATAAATTCATCAGCAGCAGCAGGTGCATAAGCAAACCTTCTGAGACTCTGAACAGTGAACCTCAAACCGCTGAAGACAAAACCTTACTGACTGGATTATTACCTAACTAACACTTGCACTGGGATTTTATATAGAAACCAAGCTGCCTTTATCCACCACAACTGGTAAATAATTTGCCTTTTAAATCATTACCTTCCAAGCAAGTTTTTTTTTTTTTTTTTTTAAATAAGAACATACTTCTGATTTGCAGTTTTGGATGAAGTTCAATTGATGTGGTTTCTTATCTTGCAGAATTGTCATGGCGTCAAGCGAACTTAGTCTTATTCTCAACAACGCAAATGCCAACCTGTACCCATCTGAACCGCAGCCCAACTTGTTGAGCATGACAGCGCCGATGGGCAGACTCTCAGAGATGACTTTCAGCAGTAACAACAACAGCACAATGGGTAAGACTTCATCATCATACTGCTTACTTAAGAATAAATTAGCGGTAGCTCTTGATATCTGTATGGTTTTTGCCTGCTTGGGATGGTTCCCATCACCCAACTGAGAGCCCAGACACAACGATAATCTCATATCCCTGAAGTCTGTCCTCAGTTTCTGACTCTTAAAATCATTAACTGAGGCAATGTTTAACTTGGCCTGCAGTAGATGGGAAGGAATGCTTTCTTTATGGTCTTTCGGGCAAAGCAGTCATTGTTGACACTGTGATCAAAACCTACGGGGTGTCAACACAACAGATAGTTAAACACACAACAGTAGCTCAGGCCCTGGAGACAGTAAACCTGAGCGGGTATTCTTCTATTGTTAGGGGGGTGGTTTGGGTGATCTCAGGTGTGAATGAGGCTAAACGTACTTTGAACCCGTTCTCCGGCAGGCCCCTGGGAACTGGTGAACCCACAGATGTGGACCAGGCAGAACGTTCTGGAGTGGATTGGCTTTCACGTGGAGGACAGCAGGTTCGATGCCAGTCTGCTGAATATGAACTACTGCGACATGGACGGGATCACACTGTGCACAATGTCAAAAGAAACTTTGATGAGCATGTTCGGATCGATGCTTGGTGAACGGCTTCACCACAGCCTGGAGACCCAAAAGGCCAGATATGGTGAGCAACAAAGACGGAACTTGTTTGAAGAAGCCTTTGAAGTTTCGTTACTTTAATGCATTAACACCCTTGATTTGTTTGTGCCTACAGCTACTGACCTGTCTGAGACATGTCTGAGTGAATCCGAATTAGACTTACTGGACAACATACTGCAGAACTCGTTTCCCTACATGCATGGACCGAGCCTCGGTCCACTTCTGGAAACGGTGGTGGTCCAGCCCTCAATCCCATCAGGTGAGAAGCAAATTCCACTTTGCAACTTTTCAACACAAACCATTGAAAGCAATGTCCAACCATCGGTACTTGAAATAACATTTGGAATTATCTTTGTGCAGACAATTCGGAGAACAACTACAGCTACTTTGATGAGTACACCAACCAGCTGACTCCAGAGAGCGACCACGGCTACGACTCTCTAACTGAGAGCTTTCAGAGTTCCCACACTGGTGCGTGTCACCACAGAACTCTACTAATCCATTAAGGTCAAGCATCCCGAAGTTCTCCTGAAGTCTGAACGCTCTTTTCTTTGCTATGTCCTCTACAGGTAGCTTCCTGAACCCAAGCTCACCCGAGTCCAACAGCAGCGACTCCGACCCAGAATACTCAGAGATTAATTACTCCACCAGCACTAGTAAGTTCCTCCAATTCTGACCCTAGAGGGTTACCTACCTGCAGAAGCTAGTTTCAACCTTAGTCAAACACACCTGAACCAGCTAATCAAGGTCTTTACTTGGCAGTTACAGGCAGGTTGAAACCTAACTCTGCAAGGTGGTGGCCCTCAAGCAGCAGGTTTAAATGGCATAAAAAAGTAGGGAGTACCCAAATAGACCCATCTAACGTTTGACTGTGTTCTTTTCCACAGAGAACTTTGTGAAACAAGAGTCCGGAGAGCCCAAAAAGAGAGGCAGAGGACGACCCCCAAAGTGCCAAAGTGAGGGATTTGACCATTTCATTCAGTCCAAAAAAAGCAAACACGGTGAGTACACAGAACTCTAGTTGAAGAGGTACCTAATGCTCAAGATCAAGTAACGATAATCCGTACTAAACAAGACTCTACTGCTCCATTGCAGCTCCAAGAGGAACCCACCTGTGGGAGTTTATCCGGGACATCCTGATCCACCCGGAGAAGAACCAAGGTCTGATGAAATGGGAGGACCGCAGGGATGGTGTCTTCAAGTTCTTGAAGTCTGAAGCTGTTGCTCAGCTCTGGGGGCAGAAGAAGAAGAACAGCAGCATGACGTACGAGAAGCTCAGTAGAGCCATGAGGTAAAAGACGCAATTCTGGGATCAAGAGATTTGGGGGGGGGGGGTTGTCTGGGTGGATGCTAGGACAGTGGAATAACCAGAACACTTGCTCTTTCCTACAGGTATTACTACAAACGAGAGATTCTGGAGAGAGTGGATGGACGGAGACTCGTCTATAAGTTCGGGAAGAACTCCACCGGTTGGAGAATGGAGGAGACCGGATATTGAAGTGGACCTGTCAGTCAAACCTAGAGACTTTGGACTCCTGCAAATGAGGAACTTTAGGGTGCTCTGAAGATCCTCTCTTTAGAAACATGCTCTTCCCAGAGGGAAAAGGTTTCACAGAAACTGTAAGCCAGAGTTTTGGCTAAAGTAGGTTTTATGAACCGGTAAAAGTTGTGCATGTCTGGTTCGAGCGGCACGCGGGCGTGGCCTGGATCAGATAGTATTGCTACATCACATAAAGACTCGATGTAAACACTTGTTCTACACAGTGGTTGAACTGTTAGAGAATGTAAAGCTTTGTTAAGGCTCTTTGGTATTGGGAAATTAAGTTTCATGTGTAGGTATATTTGTCAAACCATTTGTCAGAGCAGATTAACGGAAGAACACGTCGGTGGTATGAAGTGTCTGTAACGTTCATATCTGCTTTGCTGATTGATATTTGTTCTACTGTATATAAATGTATGTATAAACTATATATTATTTGTAATACTTGTCAATCGAGTCCAAATCAGATATATCAATTTCTCAATTTTTCTGTGATTTGTCAAGTCACTGGATAATGTGTATGAGGTTTGCCTCTCAGATGTTATAACTATTATGTATGGCATTTATTTGCTATTTTTTGTATACGTATTTTCTAAAAAATAAAATTTCTGATTAAAAGTCTTTCATCTTGCATTTGTGCCTCACCCTCCTGAACAATGTTCCACCGAACCTTATTTCAACATTTACTTTATAATTGCTCAATTTGCTCAAGTCTCCTTATCAGAGATCACAGATGTGTTGAAACGCGACTCTTTCGTGCGAAGTTCAAAACAAACATGCAGCAGAATGCAGGATGAATGCTATTTTTACGCATCTCGGATGCATAAACAGGTTAAAAATGCAGGTCAAATTTCACTGCAAATCAACAGAATGATTCAGCTGTTTTTAAAAAAATGAATTCCAACACGTTTCTCCATCATGCTTGAAGTCTTGGATGGTATTTTGTTTTTTTTTGTTGTTTTTTTTGGATGTATAAAGTCAGTTCTCCTTAAGTTCTCAAAATAACATTACTTTTACACATTTAAATATGAATGCAGATACAATTAGGTTTAGTTTAAGTTCTTTAAATGCCCATTTGTGTGCTGCTGTTTGATTTTTCAGACCTAGAATTTCCAAACGATGCAGTTTGACCTTTGCTTGAACTTGACTGCATTTTTCACAGCAGGTTTAGTTTTGCATTTAGAGCACAAAGCGACAGTTTTTTAGAGGTCCGGCATTCAAATACACACGCACCGCATTTGAATTTTGGGTCCACATGCAAATAGGCACAGCTGAACAAGACAGAAACTGAGAACCATCATAAGCAGTAAACAGTCTTTGAACTGGATAATCTCACGCTCATCATTCAATACCTGTGAGAGCTGCGGAAAGCAGTCGGAAAAGAGTTTATGAGCTCGAAAACATTTTAAACTACCCTGGAATTAAGGTCATCTGAGATGGTTAATCTGATGGTCTTGAACTGACTTATCCTATACACTAGAATCCAATCCAAGATGACTTGATTACCAGTTACTAAATAGAGCAGTTTCACATCCCTTTTACCGCCGTGTTTTTATGAGGTCTCAACAAAAGTGACAAATGTTAAAATAATTAATTTGTGTATCGCATAACATACTTCAGGCGTACTCTGTTGTACTTTCAGTTTTCAACTATGCGCACGGTAAACATCAGGTGCTTTTGTCAGTTTGACCATGACTCGTACACTCCTAAAATCTCTTTTGTCATGGCTTTGATTACCGACACAGAAATTATTCAGGTCAAGAATGTTTTTCGATAAACCGAGCTTGAAAGAAAGCTGGAAACACCATTGAAGTCACTGGCGGCTTCGCCCGCGGCCTCAATCTGCCTCTATGCCTGACAGCTGAATTCAATGCATGATGCTTCATGACGCTGTCACTTAAATGCTTTAAAGTGCATGTTACATTCACAGCATTGCTGCAAGCTGAGCTAAAGCTGCATTAAATGCTTGTTTTCTACTGTCAGGTTTTTCTTTCAGGTAAAACTATCATGAAGTGACCCCTAAAGAGAAGCTGCTGAGTGTGACTAAAGTGCATGAAACAGAAGGGAGTTTGTTTTATGGTGATTTATGACAGGCATCAGATAAGAGGTCATGTGTGTGTTTACTGCGCTCAGTGGCACTTCTCAAGCGCCTGTCGAGTCTTGTTTGTGTGAAACATTCTTCCACAGTTCTCTGGAAGCTGCGATGGTCAGTGTGTGTGATGCCATATTTATGCCGAACGAAACCCAAACATGCGGTAAAAACATCACACAATTATTACTCAGAATTTCAAGAGGTTTTAATGCATCAAGCATTTACTTTTATATAGGCTAAATATGCAAACAATAAATAACTAAGTAAACGAAAATTAGCATTTGTGTTTTATTTTTATTGTAAAATTGCTGCGAAATTAATATAATTAAAAATAATAAATGTTTTACACATAATTGTATAAATTAAGTCACATGCATATCATTCATAAAATTATAAACGTAAAAATAAAACATAAATACGAAACTGTATTTAATATTAATTATGAATAGCAAAAAAAAAAAAAGGATTGTTTGGTGTGTTCGGGTGTTTCGTCTGAGTAATTCATGCCCAGTAAATAAAATTAATCATTAAACAATATAAACTGCTGCAGTCACATGACTAACCAGACTGTAAACCCAACAAAGCAACAACAGCAGAAAAACTGGACTATTATTGAGTCAGACTCACGCAAACATTAAGATGGTTTTAAAACATGTTTTTAGCATATATAAACAATATTTTTCATTTTACTTTAAAACAAACATAGTTTTCCAAGTTTTGTTTGCTAGTCGTGTTATAGTGAAGATTTAATGTAGGTTATAAAGTTTCTGCAGTGTGTGTGTGTGAGTGTGTGAGTGTGTGTGTGTGAGAGTGTGAGAGTGTGAGAGTGTGAGAGTGTGAGAGTGTGAGAGTGTGAGAGTGTGAGAGTGTGAGAGTGTGAGAGTGTGAGAGTGTGAGAGTGTGAGAGTGTGAGAGTGTGAGAGTGTGAGAGTGTGAGAGTGTGAGAGTGTGAGAGTGTGAGAGTGTGAGAGTGTGAGAGTGTGAGAGTGTGAGAGTGTGAGAGTGTGAGAGTGTGAGAGTGTGAGAGTGTGAGAGTGTGAGAGTGTGAGAGTGTGAGAGTGTGAGAGTGTGAGAGTGTGAGAGTGTGAGAGTGTGAGAGTGTGAGAGTGTGAGAGTGTGAGAGTGTGAGAGTGTGAGAGTGTGAGAGTGTGAGAGTGTGAGAGTGTGAGAGTGTGAGAGTGTGAGAGTGTGAGAGTGTGAGAGTGTGAGAGTGTGAGAGTGTGAGAGTGTGAGAGTGTGAGAGTGTGAGAGTGTGAGAGTGTGAGAGTGTGAGAGTGTGAGAGTGTGAGAGTGTGAGAGTGTGAGAGTGTGAGAGTGTGAGAGTGTGAGAGTGTGAGAGTGTGAGAGTGTGAGAGTGTGAGAGTGTGAGAGTGTGAGAGTGTGAGAGTGTGAGAGTGTGAGAGTGTGAGAGTGTGAGAGTGTGAGAGTGTGAGAGTGTGAGAGTGTGAGAGTGTGAGAGTGTGAGAGTGTGAGAGTGTGAGAGTGTGAGAGTGTGAGAGTGTGAGAGTGTGAGAGTGTGAGAGTGTGAGAGTGTGAGAGTGTGAGAGTGTGAGAGTGTGAGAGTGTGAGAGTGTGAGAGTGTGAGAGTGTGAGAGTGTGAGAGTGTGAGAGTGTGAGAGTGTGAGAGTGTGAGAGTGTGAGAGTGTGAGAGTGTGAGAGTGTGAGAGTGTGAGAGTGTGAGAGTGTGAGAGTGTGAGAGTGTGAGAGTGTGAGAGTGTGAGAGTGTGAGAGTGTGAGAGTGTGAGAGTGTGAGAGTGTGAGAGTGTGAGAGTGTGAGAGTGTGAGAGTGTGAGAGTGTGAGAGTGTGAGAGTGTGAGAGTGTGAGAGTGTGAGAGTGTGAGAGTGTGAGAGTGTGAGAGTGTGAGAGTGTGAGAGTGTGAGAGTGTGAGAGTGTGAGAGTGTGAGAGTGTGAGAGTGTGAGAGTGTGAGAGTGTGAGAGTGTGAGAGTGTGAGAGTGTGAGAGTGTGAGAGTGTGAGAGTGTGAGAGTGTGAGAGTGTGAGAGTGTGAGAGTGTGAGAGTGTGAGAGTGTGAGAGTGTGAGAGTGTGAGAGTGTGAGAGTGTGAGAGTGTGAGAGTGTGAGAGTGTGAGAGTGTGAGAGTGTGAGAGTGTGAGAGTGTGAGAGTGTGAGAGTGTGAGAGTGTGAGAGTGTGAGAGTGTGAGAGTGTGAGAGTGTGAGAGTGTGAGAGTGTGAGAGTGTGAGAGTGTGAGAGTGTGAGAGTGTGAGAGTGTGAGAGTGTGAGAGTGTGAGAGTGTGAGAGTGTGAGAGTGTGAGAGTGTGAGAGTGTGAGAGTGTGAGAGTGTGAGAGTGTGAGAGTGTGAGAGTGTGAGAGTGTGAGAGTGTGAGAGTGTGAGAGTGTGAGAGTGTGAGAGTGTGAGAGTGTGAGAGTGTGAGAGTGTGAGAGTGTGAGAGTGTGAGAGTGTGAGAGTGTGAGAGTGTGAGAGTGTGAGAGTGTGAGAGTGTGAGAGTGTGAGAGTGTGAGAGTGTGAGAGTGTGAGAGTGTGAGAGTGTGAGAGTGTGAGAGTGTGAGAGTGTGAGAGTGTGAGAGTGTGAGAGTGTGAGAGTGTGAGAGTGTGAGAGTGTGAGAGTGTGAGAGTGTGAGAGTGTGAGAGTGTGAGAGTGTGAGAGTGTGAGAGTGTGAGAGTGTGAGAGTGTGAGAGTGTGAGAGTGTGAGAGTGTGAGAGTGTGAGAGTGTGAGAGTGTGAGAGTGTGAGAGTGTGAGAGTGTGAGAGTGTGAGAGTGTGAGAGTGTGAGAGTGTGAGAGTGTGAGAGTGTGAGAGTGTGAGAGTGTGAGAGTGTGAGAGTGTGAGAGTGTGAGAGTGTGAGAGTGTGAGAGTGTGAGAGTGTGAGAGTGTGAGAGTGTGAGAGTGTGAGAGTGTGAGAGTGTGAGAGTGTGAGAGTGTGAGAGTGTGAGAGTGTGAGAGTGTGAGAGTGTGAGAGTGTGAGAGTGTGAGAGTGTGAGAGTGTGAGAGTGTGAGAGTGTGAGAGTGTGAGAGTGTGAGAGTGTGAGAGTGTGAGAGTGTGAGAGTGTGAGAGTGTGAGAGTGTGAGAGTGTGAGAGTGTGAGAGTGTGAGAGTGTGAGAGTGTGAGAGTGTGAGAGTGTGAGAGTGTGAGAGTGTGAGAGTGTGAGAGTGTGAGAGTGTGAGAGTGTGAGAGTGTGAGAGTGTGAGAGTGTGAGAGTGTGAGAGTGTGAGAGTGTGAGAGTGTGAGAGTGTGAGAGTGTGAGAGTGTGAGAGTGTGAGAGTGTGAGAGTGTGAGAGTGTGAGAGTGTGAGAGTGTGAGAGTGTGAGAGTGTGAGAGTGTGAGAGTGTGAGAGTGTGAGAGTGTGAGAGTGTGAGAGTGTGAGAGTGTGAGAGTGTGAGAGTGTGAGAGTGTGAGAGTGTGAGAGTGTGAGAGTGTGAGAGTGTGAGAGTGTGAGAGTGTGAGAGTGTGAGAGTGTGAGAGTGTGAGAGTGTGAGAGTGTGAGAGTGTGAGAGTGTGAGAGT